AAAAATTCGGGGAACTTGCTCCCAGGTAAGTATGCATAACATTCCTGTCTAAATTAGATCTGAGCCACTGTTCCTTGATCTCCGCTAACTCCAACAACCTGTAGGTTTGAGGGAGGCAAATGGGAATCATATGCAAACGCTGTATATCAATGCTAGTTGACACCTTACAGATTGAACTGGATTTATAAGACATATACATATCAAAGCTCGGAGCATTCCTAGACGATGCTGAACTTTTACATGTCTGGTGGGAAAGCCCCCTTGCATTGGAAGAAAATGGAAACAGTTTCAATAGAAATATATAGAAAAAATACAGAATCAAAGCTTCTTTGGACCCCAAGGCACTGTGGCTTAAATGTTAAAAGGATACAGCGAACAGCCAGAACATGGGGGTTTTGTCTACAAATCTTTTTATGCCAAATACAGGAAATTACCTAAGATGCCTAACAGCAGTTGAATGAATGAACAAAGTTCAGGGCCTTTCTGTCCACGGAGAAGTCACAACGAGGAAGGTCGAGAAACTAGTTGATTCTGACATTCATCACTCAGGCTTTTTATGCAAATGTTGGATAATTAAGAATTAGGAAGGTATCCTCTATAACCCATCATGCATATTCATGCTGAATAGAAGAAATGAAATGTAATATATTCACTGGTTGAAATTGGGCTGTGGCTGGGACCTCACAACCTCTGAGAATGCCTGCCATAGATGTAGGTGAAATGTCAGGAGAGAATGCTTCTGGAACATGGCCACACAGCCCGAAAAACTCAACAACCCACTGTTGTACTATTCATTTTAATGGTACTGTGTTGTACTGATTTGAATTGGGATTGGTCTTTTATTTTTGGAATGTGTTGTTTATATGTGAACTGATATTGTCATTGTCTAATATGTTGATGTAATCTTACCTGTATTTTATGTTTTTATGGCACTTGTATGTGCTTCTGTAACTCGTCCCGAGTCTTTTCTGGGAGATGGTGGCAGGATATAAATATATTATTATTATTATTATTATTATTATTATTATTATTATTATTATGTTATTATGGTGGCAGTATATAAATAAATTATGATTATTCATGTCAAAAGTGAATTGAGAGTATACTTGTATTATTATTATTATTGTATTATATTATTCTGACACAAAAGCACAGTATGTCACAGCAAACGAGATCTATATGCTGGATTTCGTATCACAAAATCACAAGTCGAACACTTCCCCAGCATCTAGGACTGTGTGATGTATTTCCGAATGATGCGTGCAGATCCAAGTAATGTGGCCTTTTCCAGTTGACAGATCATGATTTTGTCAATGTTTATTGTTTCCAAATGCCGGCTGAGATCTTTTGGCACGGCACCCAGTGTGCCAATGACCACTGGGACCACCTATACTGGTTTACGCCAGAGCCTTTGCAGTTCGATTTTGAGGTCCTGATAATGGCTGAGTTATATTATTATTATTATTATTATTATTATTATTATTATTATTGCAGTATATAAATAATTTATTATTATTATTCATGTCAAAAGTGAATTGAGAGTGCACTTGTATTATTATTATTATTATTATTATATGAGATAACTATATGGAATCAAAGAAATCATATGCTTTGCTTTCCTAATATTAAGATGTGTTGAAGCAAACTACTTGTTTTATTTGCATATTATTTGAAGCAGAGCTGGAAAATAAAGGCATCTAATTCAAACTATGTTGTTCCCATTCATTTCAAATAGGACTGGCCCAAATCAATCCCCCAGTGTTGAATGCATTTAAAATGGCACAATTCAGCTCTACAGATGTTTACTCTCAAGTAAGCCTTGCGGTCTCAAGTGCAATTTACTCCTGTGCATGTAAAGATATTTGGTTTTGCTGTAGTTTGTGTCTTATGTCGACTGGATGTGTTATTCATTAGTTATTTCATTTTATGTATTTTACTATATTGCACTTCATTGTATTGTTTATGTTGTAAGCTGCCCCAAGTCCCCTGGGGAGAGAGGGCGGGATATAAATAAACATTATTATTATTCCAGATTGGGTGGTTTTAATAATGTGTTTTAATGTTTATATGGCTTTTAAATGTATGTTTTAATGTCTTGCCCAATCAGAAAAATTCACTTGCACTTGTTTGTTGATATGGCATCGAATTGTTTCCTTCTGTAAAGCCGCTTTTGGGTCCCCTTCAGGGTGAGAAGGGCGAGATATAAATACAGTAAATAAATAAATACATAAATATTAAAGATGATAACCTCAAGTCCATAACATTAAGGTTATAGTTGTAGTTTTTCTTTCTAAAATATCAAAAGTGTGAGACACAAAAATTGACAAAGGACAAATACAGATATTGCAAGAACACTGGTGGGAGCAATACTGTAATGGGGGGACGGGGGACTTACATAATAATTACTGTATTAGGTAGGGTATAATTACTTGAAAGCCTCCCAAATTAAGCCCCATTGTTCTGGTTATTAAAAATGGCCTTTCTCTGAAAGAAAACCACACGATCCTTCAAAGCCAGTACCTTTATGGCTATTTATTTATGTCTATTTTTTATTTATGTCTTGTTGTATACATGTGTTTTTAGATTATTGTAATATGTCTGCTTGATCTGTATTGTTTTTAAAATGTTGTGAGCCACTCTGGATCTTGTTTAGGGAGAAAAGCGGAATATAAATAAAATGAGGACAGTAAATAAAGAGCAAAACTCCCAATATCAGGGCAATTCCAGATATGAATCAAGCAGGGCCAGTTAACACCTCCTAACAAAGGATTCCCCCAGGCAGCAACCAGCCAGGCATTGAAGCTGCAAGACCATTCAATGTTAATCAATGTGGCCAATTGCAACATTCACACTTTCCTCAAACAGACAAAAATTCTTTCTCCCACCCTGGACATTCCAGAAAAAAACCCAATTTTCCTAGTTTCCAACAGACCTCACAACCTCTGAGGATGCCTGCCATAGATGTGGGCAAAACGTCAGGAGAGAATGCTTCTGGAACATTGCCAGTACAGCCCGGAAAACTCACAACAACCCAAGATCATAATCATTATCATTAAGGCCACTCATTGTCCATTCCCCATAGAAACCAAAGAAGCAAGATATGCAGAAATCCATGAAAATAATTTCTTTTGAGAAAGAGACAGCACAATATATATAAGGAACTCCTCTTCAACCTCTTTGGACTCTTAAAGGAAAAGAGTGTTTCACATCTATATAAATAAAAACGTAATGTTCGTTTGTGGGATTAACATAATTCAAAAACCACTGGATGAATTGACACCAAATTTGGACACAATACACCTATCAGGCCAACAAGTGACCATCACTCATAAAAACACCGAAAAACACAACAGAAGAGACGTAAAAAGCCAAAAATGCAAAAAGACACTACAGTGCATGTGCAAAAACGACTCCCCGGCAAACAAAACATACAATAGCATCTTCACACTTTCTTCTGGCCTACAACTCCCAGCATCCCCTAGACTAGGCCTTTTAGGAGAGAAATGCACTGCTTCCAAGATGCAAACTTTCTTATTTATTTATTTACATTTATATGCCGCCCTTTTCACCGCGAAGGGGACTCAGGGCGGCTTACAAGTAATATGGAAATACAGTTCTTCTCTTTGGGTTTCTTTGAGAGCATCCCAATCCCTACATATTTCCAATTTCCTATTCCTGGATTGCAACTCCCAGCAATCCTCCAGATAGATAGATTAGATAGAGATAGGTAGGTAGGTAGATAGATCGATCAGGAGGATTGCTGTGTGTTGCAGTCCAAGAATAGGTAGAGAAGGAAGAAAGGGGAGAAACAGGAAGGGAAAGAAAAGGTGGGGGAGGGATGGAATGGAAGAAGAAGAGAAGGAAGAAAGGAGAGAAAGAAAGAAAGAAAACAGGGAAGGAAGGAAGGAAAGAGGGAGTGAAGGAGAGAAAGAAAGAAAGAAAAAAGGGAAAGAAGGAAGGAAGGAGGGAGGGAGGGAAGGAAGGAAGGAAAGAAAGGAAAGAAAAATGGAAGGAAAGGAAGGAAGGAAGGAAGGAAGGAAGGAAGGAAGGAAGGAGAGAGAAAGAAAAGGAAGGAAAAGGGAAGGAAGGAGAGAAGAAAGAAAGAGAAAGAAAGGAAGGAAAGAGGGAGGAAAGGAGAAAAAGGAAGGAAGGAAGGAAGGAAAGGGGGAGGAGGGAAGGAAGGAGAAGGAAAGAAAGAAAGAAGAAAGAAAAGAAAGAAAGAAGGAAGGAAAGAGGGAGGGAAGGAAGGAAGGAGAGAAGAAAGAAGAAAAGAAGAAAGAAAGAAGAAAAGAAAGAAGGAGGGAAGGAAGGAGAGAAAGAAAGAAGAAAGAAAGGAAAAGGGGGAAGGAAAGGAAGGAAGAAGGAAGGAGGGAAGGAGAGAGAGAAAGAAAGAAAAAGTGAAGGAAGGAAGGAAGGAGAGAAAGAAAAAGAAAGGGAAGGAAGGAAGGTAGAGAAGAAGAAAAAGGAAGAAAGAAAAGAGGGGGGAAGGAAGGGAGAAGAAAGAAAGGAAAAAGGGAAGAAGGAAAGAAGGGAAGGAAGGAGAGAAAGAAAGAAAAAAGGGAAGGAAGGAAGGAAGGAAGGAAGGAAGGAAGGAAGGAAGGAAGGAAGGAAGGAAAGAGGGAGGGAGGGAGGGAGGAAGGAAGGAAGGAAGGAAGGAAGGAAGGAAGGAAGGAAGGAAGGAAGGAAGAGAGAAAGAAAGGAATGAAGGATAGGGAAGAAGGAAGGAAGGAGAGAAAGAAAGAAAATAGGGAAGGAAGGAAGGAAGGAATGAATGAAAGAAAGAAAGAAAGGAAGAAAGAAAGAAAGAAAGAAGAGGAAGAGGGAGGGAAGGTTGGCCACAGCATCGCGTGGCGGGTACAGCTAATATATATATAGAGAGGGGGGGGGGGATATGTACATGTGTGTGTGTGAGAGAGAGAGAGTTGACAAGGGGGTGTGAAATGTTGGGGGGGGGGTTGTGACATCACTGGGCGAAAGCGTCCAATCAGCTTCCTCTCTGGAGAAAATTATTTCGTGGGGTGTTTCCTTATAATATACTGTACTTCCAAGTCCGCCTTGAAGAAAGAAGAGAAAAGGGGGAGAGAGAGAAAGAAAAAGGTGGACGTGACGCTGATTTTTTGGTTTTTCCTGCCCTTTAAAGACCTCGCGACGGATCCTGACAAGGAGGAGTTGCTTTGAGGGAAAGGGGTGGAAAAAGAGGGGACCATTCCTTGCTTCTCTGGAGAAGATTGGCTTCGAGGAGGAAGAAAAGGAGGAAAATGAGGAAGGAGAGGAGGGAGAGGAATGCAAAGCAACATCCTCTTTCTCCGGCTTCCTGGCTGGATCTGTGAAGAGTGAAGGGGAAGTGCCTTCCAGGATCTTCCGGAGATGCGTCCAAAGGGGTGAAGGTGGGTCAAAAAGGAGGGGAATCAACAAACCAGCCCCGAAGGAGTCAACCAACCAACCAAGATGTTCCTGACCTGATCCTCGCCATGGATTACAAAGGAGACTTCCAAGCCGGCTTGCAAGAGATCGACGGGATCCCCCTGGGCTACCTGCAGGTCGAAGGCACCCGGATGTTCGCCTTGCCCCAAGTCCTGAGCCTCCTCTTCCAAGGCGTGCCCAAGGCCGCCCTCCGCAAAGCCATGTCAGGCCTCCAGATCCGGAGCCGTCGCTGCGACTTGCGGGAGCTGCGCACCCTCAAGGCCATCCAGTCGGTCCCCAGCCGCGCCGTCAAGTGCTCACTCATCTCCAAAGCCGACTTGGAAGCCCTCCGGCGGTGCTGCCGGGCTGTGGCTCCCCGGAGGATGAGGAAGAGGAAAAGGAAGAGCAAACGGAGGGATGCCGGGCACAGCAAAGCGCTCTTCCCCCCCGACAGCAGCTTCCGAAAGACTCCCTATTGCAAAGTCGCTCCTCCGGCGGGGAAAAGTCACTCCTACAACCTAACCAACGTCTTGGACTTGCAGCTCCTCAGAGGTCAAGTTTTGTCCAAAAACCCCGACGTGACTCGCCCCAAACGCCCTTCTTGCGGGTGTTTGGCCAAAAAGCCTCGCTTGTCCGGCTCCAGCGACTCTGATTCCTCCAGTTTGGCGACAACTAGCGATTCCTCCGAGGATGAAGAAGACGAGGAGGAGGAAGAGGAGGATTCGACGTGTAGTAGCACCACCAGCAGCGATTGCGAAGAGGACGAGGAAGAGGAAGGCTCCTCATCGGGATCGGAGAGCAGCTCGCTTTGCAGCGGGGATTCCGTCCAAAGCACTCGCTATAGACAAGCTGCGTTGGCGCCCCGCATCGCTCCACAAGCCCCTCCCGTCCCCTCGGGGCCGGCTTTGCTCCCCAAAGCCTTGCGACCCGAGCCCGGCCTCCTCTTTTGGGCCAGGACGCTGCGCGCTTCCTCTTTGGCCACTTGCAAAGAGACGGAGCTTCGCCCCAAGCAGGACTCCAAAATCCCCTCCCCGTCGCAGAGCCCTCCAAAGGACAAGCCCCCCACTGCAGAGGCTTCTCCCCCCGGAGGCCCCGACAGCAGGGAGACCCAGTTCGACCGCTTGATCCGCCAGTCCAAGCTCTGGTGCTACGCCAAAGGCTTCAACGTCGACGGGAAGGCTCTGCGGCGCAGCGAGCAAGGCAAAGCCAAGCAAGAGAAGGCTCCCAAAGCCAAGCGGAAAGGGAGACCGCGGAAGAAAGAGGCCGGGAAGAAAGGCGCCCCGCGTTGCTCCAACCCTCCCAGGCCGGCCTTCACCCTCCTGGGCACCTTCCCCTGCACGCCCGCTTTGATCGTCGGCTCCGACGGGGATTTGTGCCCGGCTTCCTCGCTCTGCGTCAAGGACTCCGCCGCCCCCGGCAAGACGCACCCGCTCTGGGCCTGGCAGATGGGCGGGCACGCCATCCCCGTGCCCCCCAGCCTCAAATTCCGGGCCTACCCTGCTAGGATGAGCCCGGGGGAGAATGGATGAGGCAACAGGTTGGGCTTTGTTTGGGGGGGGGGGGAGGACTGAGCACAGAAGAGGGAAGGACGCCTCAAGTCAGCTACTTGCTTCCAGTGGCCTTGACTCTCAAGTAAGTTTTATCCAGGTTGAAACCACATCTACATTTGTATTGTCGAAGGCTTTCATGGCCACATCTACATTGATCTTTAATGCTGGGTATAGGAGTCCTATAGGTGGAGGCCTCCAGGGCGAGGACACAAACCCCACCTGGCTAGGTTTTGTTGGTGTCTGTTGACTTGCAGCTTTGAACCTAACACGATGGACCCTTCCACACAGGCACATCACCCTACATATCAAGGCAGAAAATCCCACAATACCTGTTTTGAACTTGAATAAATAGGAATGTGGACTTAGGGCCCTTCCACACAGCTACATAACCCAAAATATCAAGGCAGAAAATCCCACAATACCTGTTTTGAACTTGAATAAATAGGAATGTGGACTTTGGGCCCTTCCACACAGCCGCAATGTGGATTTAGGGCCCATCCACACAGCCACATAACCCTAAATATCAAGGCTGAAAATCCCACAATGCTTTGAACTGGAATAAATAGTAATGTGGACTTTGGGCCCTTCCATACAGCTGCAATGTAGACTTAGGGCCCATCCACACAGCCACATAACCCTAAATATCAAGGCTGAAAATCCCACAGTATCTGCTTTGAACTGGAATATATAGCAACGTGGACTTTGGACCCTTCCACACAGCCACATAACTCAGAATATCAAGGCAGAAAAGCCTTAACAGCGCGCCTTGCAATCATGCTGGCCACATGACCTAGGAGGTGTCTACAGACAACACTGGCTCTTCGGCTTAGAAATGGAGATGAGCACCAACCCCTCCAGAGTTGGACACGACTGGGCTTAATGTCAGGGGAAAACCTTTACCTTAAAAGCCCACAATACCTGCTTTGAATTGGAATATATAGCAATGTGGATTTAGTACCCTTCCACACAGCCACATAACCCAGAATATAAAGGCAGAAAATCCCAAAATGCCTGCTTTGAACTGGAATATATAGCAATGTGGACTTAAGACCCTTCCACACAGCCCTATATCCCAGAATATCAAGGCAGAAAATCCCACATTATTTAAGCGTGGACTCAGATAACCACTTCAAAGCAGATATTGTGGGATTTTCTGCCTTGATATTCTGGGATACAGGGCTGTGTGGAAAGGCCCTGGGTTATCTGAATCCACACTGCCATATATTCCAGTTCAAAGCAGATATTGTGGGATTTCGTGCCTTGATATTCTGGGATATAGGGCTGTGTGGAAGGGTCTTCCTGGCCCCTTCCGCACAGCTGAATAAAATCCCACATTTTCTGCTTTGAACTGGGATATATGGCAGTGTGGACTCAGATAACCCAATTCAAAGATATTGTGGGATTTTCTGTCTTGATATTCTGGGTTATATAATTGTGTGGAAGAGCCCCCAGACAGGTCCTATATCCCAGGACCTGATCCCAGGTTTTCTGTTCATCCCTTATTATCTGGAAGTGCTGACTCATATAATCCAGTTTAAACCTGGAATCCAATCCTGGGATAGAGGACCTGTCTGGAAGGGCCTTGGGTTCACACTGCCATATATTCTAGGTCAAAGCAGACAATGTGGGATTTTATTCAGCTGTGTGGAAGGGGCCAAAGTAACACAAAGTAGCACAGTTTCTGTTCCTGGGTTATCAATGTCTTTTCCTAATTGGTCCTATCATAAAAACATGGGGAAAGTTTATCAAACTGTACAAACTTTGTTTTTACGAAACACCCTACAGCACATTTGGCTTTAGGGCCCTTCCACACAGCCCTATATCCCAGAATATCAAGGCAGAAAATCCCACAATATCTACTTTGAACTGGAATATATGGCCGTGAGAATTCAGATAACCCAATTCAAAGCAGATATTGTAGGATTTTCTGCCTTGATATTGTGGGATATAGAGATGTGTGAAAGTGCCCTATGTCTTTCAATGAATATCTCATCCAGTCTCAAAAATTCAACTAAGGGCTCTTCCACACAGGCATATAACCCAGAATATCAAGGCAGAAAATCCCATAGTATCTGCTTTGAACTGGAATAGCTGAGTCCACACTGCCATGTCTTCCAGTTCAAAGCAGACAATGTGTGATTTTATTCAGATGTATGGAAAGGGCCATAGTTTGTGGCAGCCACAACAATGACGTTTCTGGAGGATAAGAACTATTTTTTAAAATAAATACTGCACAATCAATCAGGAAATAACCCTTTCAAACCAGGAACAGAAGTTGTTTTTTTTTGCAGATTTTGCTAGTAGTGGAATTGGTTTACATTGGCCCACACTTGCTGGGGATGTTTTTTTTTTTTTAGAAGTGCACCAAGGAAGCAGGATCTACACTGCCATATAATGCAGTTTGAACTGACTGAAGTGGTTACAGTGTACTGTAGACCCATATCTACACTGCAGTATATGGGTCTACACTGCATTATCTCAATCTACACCATGAATGGGTAAACTTGGGGCCTTCAGGTGTTTTGGACTTCAACTCCCACAATTCCTAACAGCCTCAGGCCCCTTCCTTTCCCCCCCTCAGCTGCTTAAGCCTGAAGCTGTTAAGAATTGTGGGATTTAAGTCCAAAACATCTGGAGTGTTTGCCCATGCCCGTTCAACACTGACCATGCAGTGGCCATTGTTACATGGCAATCTAGATCCAGCCTAAGATTTTGGGTCGTAGGGCTGTGTGAAAGGGACTATGATAGTGTAGATCCAGCCTGAGACTGGTTTCCAAATGTGACCCCCCCCCCGGGGGGGGGGGGGCTACACAGCCATATAACCCAGAATATCAAGGCAAGAAATCCCACAATATCTGTTTTGAATTGGGTTGTTTGAGTCCACACTGCCATATATCCCAGTTCAAAGCAGATAATGTGGGATTTTATTCAGCTGTGTGGAAGGAGCACCTAGACTTATTCTTTTTTTAAAAGTCTCAAACCCCTTCTTCAAATGGAATTGCTGACATTCCTTTACTTTGAAACCTTTCCCTTCAAAGAGTCCACAACTTCTGAAATTGGAGTCTGCATTCAACAGCCAGGCCTCCAATGTGACAGCCAAATAACCAAAAGTTTTCCAATGCTGGGAGAAAGCAGACAAACCTGGAGGACTAAATCAAGGGAATGTTTGCATTGTGTTCAAGGAGCAAGCAACATTTTGGAAGGTGTCTCTTATGGGAAGCTGTGAATAGGTCAAATAATAATAATAAAACAGACAAAGGCAATTTGGGCCAGGTCTGGACCCCCCTTTTCTTTTTCTATGGAATGGTTTGCTCCATGCAGAGAAATGTGGAAGGGTTGTGGGTGTGTGCTGTAAAGAAGGAGCAAGTTTGGAGCAAGGCTCCCTTCCCCCTCCCCAGTGAATGGGCTTCCCTTCCTCCCCCTTCCCTTCTTCCCTTCAGCCAAGTTAAAAGTGGACTCCTTTCCCCTCCTCCACCTTTCTTCCTTAATTTGGAAGAGAAATGGAATGGCCTTTCAACTGCTGCACATTAAACTCATCAAAGCATCATTCCCCGCCTCCCCCTTCCATCGACTTCCTGATGAAAACTAAATCAAGACAAAAGTGACTCTTTTTTTATCCCTCAACTTAAAAAAAAACTTGGAAAGAGAGCGAGAGAGATGCACAGATTCAAATTGCTTATTTTCTAGACTTAGGGGGAAAGTGATCCCCAAAAAGGGGTATTTTAAACAAAGGTAATGATATTCTATACTGCCTGCTGAAAAGGCAAAGGAGGGGGAGGCGTGCCCCTTTGAGGGAAAAAAAATCCCTGATTTTGCTTGCACCAAAAAGAAAGAAAGAAAAAGGGTTATTTGAAACTGTTGCACTTTAAGGGAGGGGGTTGTTTGTTGGTTAATAGATGACTTCAGTAGCCTAAGGTAATATTTTGCTTATTTAAAAATTTACTGGCAAAAAAAATAAATTGGATCCAGGAGCCGCTTTGGAATGAAACACAGATGGACAATTTGATCTCCTCGAGTAGGAAAGAGGGAGTTCTTTCTCCTGCCAGAGGAAACAATGCCCCTTCCTCCATACAAACAACTCTTCCTTTATTTCTCCTGGTGCGATTTTGGTCTTTGAAGCTTTCTTTGCGTCTGTGAAATCAAATGAAATAGTGTAACCTCCCAAAAGGGTAAAAAAGTACATATTTGAAAGTCAACTCAATGTTGCTTCCAATTTCATTTGTAAGTCAACTCAATGTTGCTTCCAATTTCAAAATTTGATTGCAGATCTCCGAGAGGAGGGCTGAAGCTGCTGCACCATCAATGGAAATTGTAAAATTGTAAGCAGAATGATGTTTATATTTTTACTTTTGAAATTATGGGGGTTTAAATCCATACACCTAAGTAAACATGCTGGTTTGGAAATAAAGTCTTGTATGGACCCAAGCGACAATGCTCTAAATCTCCTATTTAGGGCCCTTCCACACAGTCCTATAACCCAGAAAATCAAGGCAGAAAATACTACATTATCTGCTTTGAAGTGGAATATATGGTGGTGTGGACTCAGCCCAGTTCAAAGCAGATATGGTTTGATTTTCTGCATTGATGTCTGTGTGGAAGGGTCCTTAGAAATCAAATGGTAGATTTCGCCTCTGTCTGTCTTTTACTGAAAGCATTTTCTGCGTTAAAAAAGGAGACAAAATTGTATTTTGCATGGAAGAAATAAAGAATGGACTCCGCTTCCAGATTTCAGCTAGGCAAAAAAAAATTAAATACATCACAAATTGATTTGGAAGCATCACTGCAGAGCAAGATGAACTTGGAATAAATACAGCAATGACACATTTAGAAAGATAAAATGTATTAAGGGTGCATTCCCCCAAAAGCAGTTGCGTGGAAGGAATTTCACACCGCCATGCCTAGTGCTCCCTTGGCGATGAATCATGTTTAGGCATTTAAATAATATTCTGGCAAAAGCACCGCCTTCTGTAGAACGCTCTCTAAATGTTCACTTGTTTGGAGTCAGAATAATTAACTTCAGTGCAGTCTACTTCTAAATAAACTTGCTTAGGAGGATTCTTTGAGCGGGTTTCCCACCCACCATTTGGTAACCTGCAATTTTGTTGAAAAGGAAAGGTTTTTGTTGTCAAAAACAATTTGGAAGGAGCAGAGGGATGAGCGAGACCCCTTCCACACAGCTAAATGAAATCCCACATTATCTGCTTTGAACTGGGATATATGGCAATGTGGACTCAGATAGTCCAGTTCAAAGCAGATATTATGGATTTTTCTGACTTGGTATTTTGGGTTATATGGCTGTGCGGAAGGGACCTGAGTCTTTCTCTAAAGGAAACAAAAAAGCTGGGTGAGGGGGTGAGTTTGGTATGTTTTTTAAAAAGCAATTTTGGGACATTACAGCATTCTTTAACAATTTCTATTCATTTTGATTATGCGGGAGACTTTCTCACTGCATTGTGCCCCTAATATTTAAAAACTAACAACACTAAAAGATGAAATCCAATTATTTATTGCATAATTTATTGCATTGCATAATTTTGAGGGGACTGCAAGTGAAGACACTATTCTGGCTGCAAATCTCCCCCTTTGGTAAAGGCTCTTGCACATTCATCTCTGAGATGATGACTTTCCCCCTAAAATATATGGAGCAAAAAGACCAAAACAAAAGGTTCATTTTTAAATTCATGCTGTTTAAATTTGTTTTTTTTAAAAGATGTGTGTTGATCATTGTTTTTGTTTTTTTTGGGTTTTTTTTTTTTGCCTGTCCTGGGAACTTGGAAAAACTATCAACAGGAAGAACTTGAGGAAGGAAGTTTTGCAGTTGTCTTAATTTTCTTTCCAATTCACACATACACACATCCTTTGTCGTCCCCCTATTTTGTATTTGAAATATTTGAAATACGAGCTCAGCTCTGCTTTAAAAAGGAGGGATGGTGATGTTTGCAGAGCAGTATAAGGCATTTAGTTAACTGCACGCTATTATTTTCAGAGGAATGTGGAATTTGATGGAGGCTAAATATTGACATGTCTCCTCTGCTGCCCCAGTTGCTAACCTTTACGTTCATTGCAAGCTTTGCAAACACGAAGCACAGAAATAGAAAAAATACCAGTAAGGGAAAATATTTGAAACGAAGTCTGAGATATCAAAAAAAATTGCTAAAGGGAATAGGGAGAAATGCTTCAGTTTTCATTCTCACAGCACAATTTGGTGAATATAGTAGTCTGGCTTATGGAGACGATGGCAAAGTAGGTGTGTCTGGAAGGCAGCACTCAGGAAAAGAAATGCACACCTCTTACACCAGAGGAAATCCCTCTGTGCTTATAGATTGTGTAATTTTACTGTATAGGAGCTGCACACAGCCTTTTGCTACTCTGCTGGTTCCTTGGTTCAGGACCCATCATCCTTTATATAGCATAAATTAATACTCTGGGTGTTAATACATTTATTCAGAAAGCCACAAATAAAAGATGGCTTTCAGGATGGAGCAGGGAGAGTCTTGGACAAAGAGATGGTAATTGGCAGGAAAACTCTGTATGTTGCAAGGGAAGAATATATCAAGACAATTTGCTGGTCAACCTCTCCCCTTTCTGGGTCTTTTAACTAACCATTCCAGATCACTATGCACCACATTGTCATGGGCACAATCCAGTACACAGTCATTGTAGTGCACGATAGTACTCTTGCACAACTTCCATTCATTTCAGCAGAGATCCCGGTGGGTTATACCTCATGCTGTTTGTGTGTATCTTAACGGGTATTTAAACTTCCGTACAGTATCTGTTTCATCATTCAAAGAGGTATTCGTAGGTATGTTTATATGTTGTTCCTTTCTCAAGGAAGGCACAGTGATCTAGTATTCATTCACCTGCAGACCTTTTTACATGTAAGGAAAAGGATTTGCATGTCACATGAATACATATAGTGCATGTGCCCACTAAGCACATAGGAAAGAGCATGCAAAAGTATACTGAATGTGTGCATGTTGTCTGTTCCTTGAATTCAAGAGGACACTGGCAGTTACCAGGTGACACCTCTGAAAATAGCTTGCAATTCTAAGCAAACTTATTAATGGAATAAATCCTGTAAAATTCAGGGATTGGCTTCTCTGTGAATATGCTACAGGAGTGCAGTCTTCTTCTTTAGCAGTTAGTGGCAAAACTCCCATTGGTTGCAGTGGAACTGGATTGTAGTATACTTCAGGGCTGTGGAAATGTCACTCTTCCAGATTTTGTTGGAAGACACCTCCCACCATCTCAGAGCATCTATACTGAATGGGGTTGATGGGAAATAGAGTTCGGCAACACCTAGAAATCACTAGCAGTGAAATTATATTTCTTAGATGCTCTTGGGCTGCTTCACATGGAAAGTTTCTGGATTTGTATGAACTGGTGCTATTAAAAACTGC